AATTAATTTTTGAATATTTATATCAATATAGTTGGTATTTTTATTCGTGATACAATAAATCATGCTTTAAGAAAAATGTAACCTCCAACCACATTTATATGAAACCGTATTGGCAATTGTTCTTGTTTGTCAGGGTGACAGTTTTTATTTTAATTTTGCATAAGGAAGCGTTGAAATACTAATGGTCAGTTCGTTGTAATTATTTATCATTATACGTCTGGCTCTCGACGGATGATTTATTATGATGTTTCTTAAGTTGTATGCCAGTCTCTCGACCAAATGGGCTAATAAATACTTTTATTGCCATTAAACCCGTAAAATATTTAACAACTATTTTCCAATTAAACGGTAAATATAACATGCAATTTATGTAGTACCAAATAAAAAACCTATTTGATCATTTTTCTTTCGATTAATTACAAATCACGTAGATTACACTACTAAATGTTTTAATAAATTTTGAATATTCTTATATGGAAAACAATGTGTTGAAAAGTAGTCATACTTTAGGTTGGATAATATTTTATTTTGTGACGATTTATAGCATTTTTATACATCATAGCAAACTATACTTCAACATTTTTATGGCTACTAATTTATGGTATTATTTATCATTTATTACATCTGTTTAAATGAACATAAAAACGAAATATATCGATTTAATACAAAGATTTATGTATGCTAAAAATGCAATTATGTGATATTTTTTCTGAAATCAAGTTTCTTGGGAATTCGTATCTCACAAAACGTTATTACTAATAAGTAAATTAGTGTTTAATTAATGTTCCTATCCATTATATATTCAGCTAGATACACTAGACAATCATAAGTAATTCAAAAAATAATATTGAAGTTCTGTATACCTAATAAAAAGTCTCTGATTATCTTATTCTACGAAAATGAAATTAAGAAATAAAACAGTGACTGCACTTAAACTGGTGTTTTTTTCAATACACCACAGTTCATAAATTAGATTAAACAATTAATTTATCAACACGTTTAAATAATAAAAAAATAATTATTGAAAAACAATCGGCGTGAAAAAGGTTGTCATTTTAGTATAGTAATTTATGATTAAACCATCTGAAAAATCGATAAAACACACGCGTAAATATGTATGATGAGAGTTTTAATTTTTTTTGTTACAATGAAATAATTATGGTTAATGACTTTTATAAAGGGTATTGATTATTAAATTTGTCATGGTCATTGTATTTTGACGATTATGATCGTAATCATAACAATCAATATGATTATTATCCGACCTGTGTCTCATATCTACTGATCACTTTGCTCATTGTAATTAATCAACAAAGGTAAAACAAGAGGTTCTTAAAAAACTTTTTAGAAAAGTATGTAAACGTATGACGCAAATCGATCTTCAAAATGTTAATAGTCTACCTTCTAATTTTGTTCTCGACATAAAAAAAAAGACACTTATTGAAAATTTTAGGTAAAAAATGTTGTTTTTCATTTCGAGGCTGAAGAAGTTATCGCCTTTTAGTTAAAGTTAAGTTAAATTTTAACGTAATACGTTTAGTTAATTCGAAAGCTAACTTATTTATATTTTTAACTTATGGCACAACATCGTGTTTCCCTCATCAAGTTATAAAGATCTTTTTACGTTTTCAGTTTTGCGTTGTATATGATCAATTGTTCCATCAATAATGCAAAACTGCGTCTCATCGTGTCGGTTATAACACAATCAATTGGTCAATTTACTTGAAACGCGCGTTGAACTATCTGTAAAAAATTCGTTTTAACGTCAAACTTTGATTAAGTATTTTTTTTTATATACAGAACAAATTGTAAAAGTTAGCCGTTAACATGTTAAAAATCTACTTTTTTTGCATCACTCCAATATTTACATTGGTGTCGGTGTTCTAAATTAGTGAGAAACCCGTTGTTTACTTTTGAGCTTTTAGAATTTTTTGTTATTGAATGTTAGCCAGTTAAACCCCTCCCCCAATGCATTAAAATAAATAGTCTTAACCGTTGCAAGTTTTTCATTCGTCCAATAGTATGTCAATTTTAAAAATTATTACAAATAACAATATTTATTAAAACAATTTAATTGTTTTGTTTCAGGTAATTCGCACACACTGCACGTTAAAGTTGGATCGTTACTTTGGGGCGAGTGCGCATCGTTCGGATTGGAATTTATTTGCGACCGGTAGCGTAACCGTAAACATAATTGTGCGCATTTCTGGTTTAACTTTGCCGTCACAGCTGTTGTGTTGCTGCCTCCCCACCCCCTCCCCCGGCCGAGACAACACACTCGGCTCACCTCGTCTCGGCAAGTCCAATTCCTTAAAACTCTAATATCGCACACATGTCGCCTTGTTGTTAATTTAACGCTTTGTCCCGAAATCACTTGGAGTTTTTGCTTTTCCGCAAAATTAGTTTCAACAACACATCTGATACTTGCGCATTTTACGATTTAACTGACTAACGCGTACCAAAACATAGTGTGCATTTCGTTACGAACCGTGTAAAAAGCACAACAGTAATGTATTTGGCCAATTTATCGCGCGTTTTTTGGACATACATTCAATTGTTTCTAAATGAAATGCCTAAGAATAAAAAGAGAACAAAATAATTAATTCATTTTTTCTATAGTAATAAAACAATACGTTGTAATCTAAATCACAGATATACACTAAAACATTGTCTGTTATTGTGTTGACTTAATAAATAACCATTTTATTGTGTACACGATACCAACGTTAATTGAACAGCTTACTGTGCAAAAAGACACGTTTAAAATAAATTGTAAATGTCGTAAGACAAAAAATTAACCTTGTAGCGTTGAAATTAAATGTAGACAAAAATTTGGGAATATCGCAGAACGTCTTTCAAATAATTTTTTGAAAATATTGTACACTGTATAGTCTCTTGTCTAATGAAATAAATCAATTACAATGTGGTATTTTAGTAAATACATTACGATGACTTAGATGGGAACCTTTACTCGACTCTTTAGTTACATTTTAGTGAACGAGTTCATGTTTTTTATTTATTTTTTTTTGTTACATAAATTTACGATCTTTAAACTCCTGTTTATTTTACTTTTTTTTTTTTATCTTTTTCACATTTATGTTTTTTTTATGATTTGTTTTGTCTGCAATATCATAAATCGCAAATAACCCGAGAAATATACAACCTAAAATTTGGTTTCATTTTTCATATGCCGCAATATTAACTGTTGTTAGTCACCATAGATTTTAACATGCACTATTGGTTACAATCGAAATCAAATGATAAAATTAATTTTAACTAATTATTTATAAGATTGCATACAAACGGGCACTCGTATTTTTTTTTTGTGATATTAAAATATTACAATCTCATGAACACAATTTACCTATACACTGCCGCATTTGTTACCATTACTTATGTTGTGCTCTAATTGTTCAAGTGTGTTATCAGCTTCATAAATGTGTTTATGACGTGACAATTTTCCATTCGAATGTATTAATATTACAACACATTGTGGAGACATAAAAATCTTATTGTTCTAATGGCGCCGTTCTAATTGGTGTTATTGAATGAACGTATTTGTTTATAGATTAAACACGTACTGTAATTTTAATATTCAAATACCAATTTCAAAGTTTTAATGTAAATAATTAAAACGGTCTGAAGAAGAAAACTTCCTAATGAAATGTGACATTTGCATCCAGTCAATGTATGTTAAGTTGTCTCATTGACGCCTAAATTTTAACACCATTAAATTATATTATTTTTACTCAAAACAAAAATGTTTATACTTTAAACTTTCATGTAACTTACAGACTATTATGTATGATAATAAAATGATATTTTATTTCTCTTAATGTAAAACTTATTATTACAATTCAGTTTCTATAAGTATCTAAAAGTAAAGTATTTAATTATTTTATGACAACTGTTTAAAACAATCGTCTATATTTTTATTACTGATTATGTTTCTATTCTTATAATTATTACAATAAAAAATGAATGAAAAAGTTTTATTTCTTTTTCCTGATTGCTGCTTGTATAAAAATGAAATTTTTTTAGTAAAAACTAAAATGTAATTTCTTTTTACATTTCTACCGAGAAATCTTGAATTTAGTCAGAAAAAATTTATTTTTTAGTTATAATTTGTATCTGTATATTAGCTTTTTCTATTATAAACTTTAATTGGATAAAAGTAAGGACTACACTTGACCAACTAACTAATAGTATAGACTTAATGCTAGTTAGAAGTATTTTTAAAGTTCTTAATTAACCTGATAGGAAAATTATTAATTTTGTTTAACGGTTAGTTCAAATATTATCAGCTGTTAAACTAATTTCGCCTTTTCAAAATAACATCTTTATAATTATTTTTAATAGTTTTATTTATACAATTCAATTCATCATAATATATATGAATACGCTGCAAATTTATGCCACTACTTACATTAATTCTAGTCAATAAAACAATGAACTTAGTGAAAACATCCAATGTTTTATGTTTATGAAATAATACGTAATTAATTGTCAAAATATCTTCAGCATACAATACTTCAACTTGTAATATTTGAAATTATTTTAAAATTCATCTAAAATTAGTTTCCATCCTGTTTATACAATTAGAATTTCAAGAATTTGATTTTTAAGAAGTTCCAAATCAACTTATCTCTAAAATGGCTACTGTGGTCACCATAGATCTCATCAGCAATCAGTATCAGATAATAATTAAACGATTGATTGAAAGACAGAAACCAAATTTATACAAGACCGTAGTTAGATAGTATAAATCATAATTTCTGAATATATCGAAAAAAAATGATGTAATGAAAATAAACTGTTAAAGATATTTGAATGGATTTCAGTTATAAATCATCTCAAAATTCCAAAAATGTCACATTTATAGGCTCAATAGTTTCGTATTATCTTTATAACTAAAATTTGATCGATTTTTAAAAACAAACTTTCATTTAACCAATTGTAAAAAAAAATGTTGACATAGACAAATTTATGAAAATAATTAAAAAACAAACTTAATGGAAAATAAAAACACGTGCCGTTTGGACACCGTACGTGGTACGAGATCAGGAGGCAGGCGTCCCCCGAACAGTTTACATGCGCCGGCACACAACTAAAGAGCGCTGCTGGCCAGAGCACGAACGTCGATTGGCTGAATCGTGTCCCGTCTGGAAGAGTGGTGGGGTGAGGTACGTATAGGTCGGTGCCCCCGCCTGGCTCCTCCAGCCAATGCCTCCGCCCCGCAGCACCTATTCGCGCATGTGCGCACTATGCAACGGTACGGCGCGCATAGGTAGAGGTAACATCGGCGGCGGCTTGCCGGCCACAGCGATCGCCGCGAGCCGACGACCGACGAACGGGCCCCGCCAATACCCTCCGCGCGCCGCCCGGGTCATAAACGATCTCACAAACAAGTGCTCAACATTCGGGAAATTACCCACTAACAAAAGGCCGCCGCTAGTTTTTACTATCTCTGTCGGCCCCGTACGGTTTTTAATACTTTTACAACGCGCCGCGTGTGTGCGCGTGCATTGTCACCGGTGTCCGTCATCGTCGTTAACCGATCGAATTAGGTTTGGTTATTTTTTCGTCGAAAACCGTCGAGTATTATTTCCGTTGTTGTTTGTTTTTTAATAAAATATATATTTATAATTAAAATACTCTATATATATATCCACAAATAGTACCGACGGCCGTTTTCGTCAAAGCTCACGTTGGAGCGGCTCGAAACCGACCAAACGCTTTTTCCGTCAGCGTATCTTGCACTATGTGGCGTTAAACGGGACACGCTCTTAAACTTTTGTTTCATTCAAGTTGTGCTTTGCGTCCAACTCTCGGACAACCGCTATTTTGTACACATTAATCGCACACCATGAGTTCCAAGTTCATCATAGACAGTATGCTTCCCAAGTACCATCAGCAGTATCACCACCAGCTTTTGAATCCGGTAATCACTTCTAGTGGCACGTTAGATTCTTCCGCCGTTAACTACAGTCTTACACCGAACAATTCTTCGTCTAGCAGTGCCGGTGGTTCGCCTCCGTCTTCGTCGTCGTTGGTCTCACCAGCGGCCGGTCGTATGTACCCTGCTTACGTTCACCATCACCACCAACAACAGTTTGGCGCGGCAGCCGCCAGTTCCATGGCGTTTTCGTCGCCAGGTTCCGCCGCCTTGGCTGCGGCCGTAGTGGACGCCGCTGACAAGTCGTCTTCTTGTCGGTACGGCGGTGGCGGTGTCCCCGTCGGTGTTTCCGCAGCCGACACGATGGTCAATAGTTACGCTGCTTTGCACCTAAACCACCACAACCAGAATGGTGCCGGATCAGCGGCCGGAGCGGTTTCGTCGATGGCCGCCGCTGCACAATTCTACCATCAAGCGGCCGCAGCATCCGCCGACCCTTTGAATTCCGCTTGTGGCGGACAGCTTGGTGGACCTGGTTCACAGGCCATGCCCGACATACCCAAGTACCCTTGGATGATTACTCCAGGTGAGTTAATCAAATTGTTAACATTAGCCTTTTTAATTTGAGTGACGGAGTTTTGGCGAAGACCACAAATTTTTCTGTAATTTTAATGTATTAAATTTTTTTTCTAAGAAAAATATAATTTATATGATTTGGCAAAGGGTGTGTGCGCCGGTTTTGGCCACTTTACAACTTGTAAATTAAGTTAATTCGTTTAGAAGCTCTTTTACGAAGCTTTGAACCGAAAGTCCCCAAAAATCATAACTTTGTTTATAGCAAATTCATTTGTTCCAAGAACAAAGTTTATAGTTTATGATCTTATTATAAATACTAAATATCAAGATAATAAAATATATACTAAGATGGCAATAGCATAGTACTCTTTNTATAAAATATATACTAAAATGGCAATAGCATAGTACTCTTTCCCTATTATTTTTTTATAAATAATTTTATTGTAAAATTTTAATTTACATTAAAATTTAATCTATGTAGATCTGCACAGTCTACAATTTGTAGACAATATTGACAAGTCGTGTATGCATATTAACGGTCTACTAATTTTATTACCCTATTAATTATACTACTGATATTTTAGGTGTTTTTTTACGGTAAATTACTCTTACGAATATTTATCGCCGAATAAAATTATGTATAATTAATTTTATAGTAATCAGTCGTTTCGGTTTAATCGTGTAGAGATAATTATTATATATACAAAAAAATTGGATAACAACTGTAATAATTAAAAAATATACTATGCCACTATCGAATTTGATACGTTTAAATAGTTATTATTTAATTATTGAGATCCATTAGTTGTGTTTTTAAACGTTGTTAAAATTTTTTAAATAGTATTTTAATTTATGCACAACAATTAAACTGTTTATTTTAATTCAATATACTTAAGCTTGAACATATTAAAAATTTAACATTAAAAGAAAAAATTAATTGATAATTTATCTAATGTTCGGTTATATGTTGAACTTGAATTTTCTATGGTATAGACATGGTGTTTATTTTTAACTTAAACTTAAACATGTTAAAAATTTTTAAATATCATTCACCAACAAGTTAAATATCCAATAAAAATATTATTTTGTCATTATGAATATTGATTTTTTTTTTAATTTTAATGTACGAGGTATTAGTATATTTAATATGATAATTCTTTAAAAATATTAATACAAATTCAAATTATTTTTATCTAAGATGCGTATTATTCTAAAATATGCCTTCATAAGTATAATTTTTTTAATGATTAACTAAAGTTCAATAGTAACATTGCAGTGATATATTGTTTTTACATGTCTATGCTTATACTAGCGAAATAATGCATTCTAATAAAAAATTGTATACTTTTTACTTAGTTTTTTTAAGAATAATTTACTATCGAACTAAAAATAATTTATGTTAATGAACAAACATCTATGCATGTCTATAATGAAATGATTTATATTTTTTACGACCAAAGAATTCGTTTAATCAATCAATTCGCGGACCACTTAACAAGCCAAAAATAATATAGTGCAATTGTAATTTTAACGCGCTCACTATTCTAATGCCAATAATGTTTCGGCAAATATTTCTCGAGATCATTAAATTGGTCCATTAGCTAATCTACTACACTTAATACGCCTGTTACATCTTACGCTTTAATATTTTTGTATTTATATAAACGTCAAGAGTGATGAAATTTATAGGTTTGTTTTGTTATTTTAAGTATTTGTTTTACGATCCTTTTATTTGCGGGTTGGATTATCATTTTCTACAATAAAAACGTAATTTGTCATAATAAGTTTTTGTTAAAATAATAAAAAAGAAACATTTCAAGCGTTTCCTCGTAGAAACTTAATAGTCATGTTTAATAAAATTGTCTCGTGTATTATATTTTATTTCGATCATGTCTTGATAAGCACTTAACCTACTTAGTATTTTTTTTTTTATGTTTTAATAATCTAAACTGTCATAATTCTTCATTTTAAAATGTTCACACGTTTAATTACAATTACGATTGATTTTCATTATACGTATTTCTCTAGTTGACGTTTAAATATACATTTGTGCTCGGATTGATTGGATTTTTTTTTACTTCTATTAACATACCCAGACATTATTGTAATAATGGACAAAATAGCATAATTGTTGTACACGCCGTTTGTTCGTTAAAAGTACTCGGTGAACTACTGAAAGCGTAAAATGGCGTGTGTAACCCTATAGTTTTTTTATTTATTCGTCGCCCCGTTTAGTTTATCGTGGCCAGCCGCCAACCTTTGGCGGGAAAAGTAACAAAACTCATATATGCGCATACATAGTTATGATGGGGATTAATTTTTACGGTCGTTTTGCCGACCGTTATTATTATTTTACTTGTAATAGTTATTGTTATAATCATTAACCACTAATTTATTTTTACAACTCTCGTACTTGCCAGTAACGAATTACTCAATTTTAAACGGAACACTCGGTGCTAGTTTCTTTTATTTGTTCAATGTTTCCAAAAATGTTGAATTATTTTTATTATTTCTTTTTTAAATTTAATGATTTTGGGAGGTCTCTCTTTTTACCCTTAGCCGAACGTGAAGCACAGCCATTAATGCGTCCATGGTTATGACCCTGATCGACTATTGTTAAGTGTTTTATAATCTTCAAAATTGTATTGGATTGGTCGGTTGGGCGGAAATGCGAACAGCATCTTGCAGTGTGTTGTGCAAAAACCGGTTGTTCTTTGAGAAGACATTTTTTTACGTGTGTTGGTAAATTACAAATAATAATAAAAACCAACGTTATGAATCATAAATTGGGCATAATAATTATTAATTATCACTATTTATTGCTTTGTCGTAATTTATNTAATTATTAATTATCGTTATTTATTGTTTTGTCGTAATTTATTATTTTCGCTCAATTATTAACTCCCAATTTACCTATAACATGTAAGGGTGTCTTCATGTTTAATATACGCTTTGAGTAGGGAAATGAAATGTTGCTGAATAGTTAATTTAGAACTCATTTTGTGCCATTATTTTTATGTTTTACTGAAACAATAATATTCACATAACTAAATCATCAATTACTTTTACAACCTATCAAAATAAAAATAAAAAAATTATGTTAGGTACTTNATTGGGCATAATAATTATTAATTATCACTATTTATTGCTTTGTCGTAATTTATTATTTTCGCTCAATTATTAACTCCCAATTTATCTATAACATGTAAGGGTGTCTTCATGTTTAATATACGCTTTGAGTAGGGAAATGAAATGTTGCTGAATAGTTAATTTAGAACTCATTTTGTGCCATTATTTTTATGTTTTACTGAAACAATAATATTCACATAACTAAATCATCAATTACTTTTACAACCTATCAAAATAAAAATAAAAAAATTATGTTAGGTACTTTTTGTTGTAGTTTATTTGTGAAGTTCAAACATTGTTAACGCCAAACATCTTTCACTCAAATTTTTTTTTTTGCCAGTTTTAATTAATTCAAAATTTAACTAAAATATCTATTTTATTTGCAGACTGGATGAATCCGTTTGAACGAGTTGTTTGCGGTAAGTAACCGACTATATTATATTATTATATTTTACCATTGATATTTAATTAATAGTTGAAATTGGTTAAGTGATGTTGTATTGGTTATTTTGGTTTATAAAAAATCATAGGTTACCTGGTGCACGTACGCTAATATTTTTCAACCAAATTTAGTTTCTAGTATGTTTTAGTTTTAAGATAAAATTCTTTTCGTCGTATTAAGAAACTTATTTATTTATAAGTGTATAATGTAAATTTTATTTTAAATAGTACCGTAAAAATTACACATTATTTAAGAACGTTAAATAAAAATATTCTGTATCCTATCATATGACGTCAATACTTAAAAAAAAAAAATACTTCTTATTTCAGTATATACATATATCAAAGAGAAATTATGAAAGTTTTAATACTCATCGTAATCCATTACTGATAATATATTTGTCCGTATTTATAAGAGATCTTTATTTTATTGTAGAATTCTAGTTTCAGGTTGCCGTAATATTATTATGGTCATTTCAAAATGATTGCGTAGCCTCGTATCTCAAAAAGATTTTTTATTTCTTAAATATCGTTTGATTTAAGTCGATTTGGTTTACTAAACTAATACTTGAATTTCAATCAGTTTTATGATCGCATTCGACAATGTAATATAAATACATAGACACATTTTAAATACGCTCTACTTATCGTATCGTAAAGGCGCGTGTGTCGTTTATTTAATACTTCTTAACTCTGCGCAAACCTAACACGGACAATGTCGAACATATTTTTTTATGGCTTACGCGCGTACACACTCAGTTACGCCGTACAGTTAATAGGTTTTTATTGAACAACAAAAAAATAACGTACGGCGGCCGGGTCCTACCAATGTAAATTATGATTTATGACCGAGTAAACTGCCTGGTCCACCACCACCATCACCTTTAATAGTGAAACTGTTGAATACTACTGTACATTGTTGCTACCGCGTCCATTGGTATGAGATAATACAGTAATGTATCTACTATACATAGCGGTACAAAAGAGTTGGGCTACCTCCGAGGGATTTATGTATTAACCCCCTCGTGTGAGAATAATTTCACCCTTTTTCATTTTAATATTATCAGTGGCTGACACAAAAAACTAATCTGGTCCTTTCTTAAAAGTGCAGGTAGGATGGGCATTCACTGGGTATATCTTTAATATTATAACGAGTACAGTATGGCGGTTGTGTTGGCCGTGTCTACTGGTACGCTATGCATGCCCGTGGGCAGCTGTTACACGGGCGAGTCGATCGAAATGCCATGGGAACCTTAAAAAAACAAATATATAAATAAATCCACAATCTTTTGACGTGGATAAATAAACGAAGGTTTTTAACTCTTGTGATTGCGTCTTCGCCGCGTAAATTTACTTCGTCTAGTGTTTCTAAACGTATTTAAACACTGCATTACATTAGCATACATTATCAAAAATGTCGCATTGTGGTATCTATAAGTCACCACTTTTTTGTTTCTGGTAAACCATAGTATCATCGTATTCCACTCGGAATATATCTAACAAAGGGGAAAAAAAGTATCCTCTAAAATTTAAATATTCAACTTGTTTGATGTAATTTCACGGAACTTGGTGTGCATCCCGTAGACTATAATTGTCTAAGTTTTGTCATCATGGCGTCGTCCGCTAACACCCCTCAGAATTCCAGCGTACACTTAATTGCGTTTTCATAACGACTGTACTATTTAATAACTACTAAGCCGATTGGCAGTTGATATTATTGTGCATACTGTGTGGATTATGAGCAGTTATATTTCAGAAACTTACTTGCTGTGTGTGTGTAATTGCTTATTAAAATAATCTTGATAGCTTTTTTGTGCGCCTGTAGGGATTCAGATTAAACCAACCGGCATAGTCATTACCATACATTTAACATAAAAATATGGGGTTCGCTGAAAAACCAAACATCTCGTTTGATTTACGATCTAGAAGGACGTTTGATTAGAATTTAACTTAACTCGGCCATTTATGATTAGCACTCAATATACATTTTCTGATAACAAACCTTTATTAATATTCGTGGGAAATCACTTAACGGCCTCGTATGATCATAATATTCACTCTTTGTGAGTATATTTATTTTCCATGTGATTTATACTGTATTTCGAGTACCCTACTCTTAATAAGGAAACTCCGGCGTGATACTTATTTCACAACTTGTAAATGTTTTAACGACTGGCACTTATATGTATTCAATGTAATGATTGTTAATCTCTTTAGACAACTGCTGGGCTGAAGAATGTGACCGTTATTATATTACTTTTATTATTATTACTTTATAGTCGCTGCTACTCAATTTGTTACATAAATTCACATTTTTTAACGGGGAGCAATTATTATATTTATCGATAGAATTACTTTTATGTTAACTGGTTTTGACCATATCAACTACACGGGTAGTCAATCATTCAAACACTTACTATGACGCTAGTTCAATACACTTTTGATCATTTTTTACACTATAAAGAACATTTACTTTACATACTCCATAACCGCATGTGGCTACATTTTCACTGACACGGTTAAATATTTAAGAAATTTATCTGTACATAATCTATTTCGTTATTTGTTTTATATTTACTAGTTGAATAATGGTGCGCGGCTATTAGAAACATAAAATTATGTTGATGTTTCAATCAAAACGATTTAGTTGTCAGTTCTATGATATATATATATATATTTGTTGGCTATCGTAATTTTATAGTTCGAAGTATAAATGAGTTCATGAATAGCAATTTTAAACGTCGTAATGGTGTTTATACACAAAAGTATGGAGTAATGTGCGAAAATCGCTCTAAATATTGACAATAAACGAATAATAATTCGACAGTTTTTGTAATGCTGCCAGTCGTTTTAACGACGGTGTTTTTATTGTCATGTGATAATCGGGTTAGTGTTGTAAAAATATTACAGGGGAAATATTGCCGTCACAAGTCCGTATAAATATCGTTAGCACCGGTTCCAATGGTTTTTTCACGATCGAGTCGAAAATAAAAACGTCGTTATAGCTTTGGCTATGCCCTCTCCGGATGTGTTAAGGTATTGCTTGATGACCGCTCGTTTGGATATCTTAACTGCAAACGATTTGATATTATCCAGTCGATAATCGGTCGTTGGATCGACCGGAATGGAATAATAACAGCAGCGAAGAAATTATAGGAAATTTATGGTTTTTTACAAAAATAGATAATTCACTGTCGCCTCTCTGTCGACACGTGCAGTCTATTCTTTTGTTGTCCTGGTCACTTATTGTCTACGTTCTGATTGTGTAAAGCTTCGGAGCCATCCCGCATAGTAATGTTGCGTTAATTAATGACACAATGCCCCATGGATTTTATCATTGTTCGTAGCCAACCTTAACTTATCCAATAATCATAAAAATATATTTAGGCGTTAGCAGTGTTGAATTAAAACACTCAAATGCCAACCATAGTTTTTATGTTGCACGTTAGCGGTGTTAGGTGTAATTGAACACTACTAAATTTCTTATTGGTTTTTAATGCACGCCATTTCGCTTTGTAACCGATTTTCTTGAGATTTTCTCGTTTGCTGGTTAGCATTTCAATGGTATTTGTGACTCGATAGGGGAGACCTGAGAGCGGGCCGCCATAACCCGTTTCTTTGGGTACATGCGGCGTGAGACGACCGCACACGCTTGCGACTATCGATCCGGTTTCTTGTAACTATGGCGGTCGTATGTCCTTACTGAGGACAACTTGGAAAATGAAAAAAACTCGTCTGGATGAATGATAATGATAATTAATGGTCGTTGTTAATCGACAACGGCAACGGATTGAAAAATAACTGGAGGTTGGTGTGCGCGCCGCCCCGTGCACACATGCGATTGTGACATATTTATTATACAGTTGGTACGTAAATAGAAAGGGTTCAACATTTTTATTATTTTTTTTTTTATCCATAGCAGAGTGTCTAAAAATAATAAACAAGACTGAAAATACTGATGTCACATTTCGGTGACTTATCTATTGCTGCTGGCCCGGTTTAATAATAATAAAAAAAAATTATAATTGTTCGCTTGAACCGCATCATCAATGGAATAATTGTTATGGTGGCAAATTTATCTGTGAACATTATTTTTATTTACAATGTGTGCATTTCAGCGCGAGTCGTATGAATTATTTATCTTATGATAATTACACATGATGATTTGACGAGTTTATAAATTGCTGAATTATTAAAATGCAGTAACGTCCGTGTTGTTGTACTTGGAGTTACGGTAGGTCGTGTTCATGAAATTTGTGCGTAGGTAGTTGTTAACAGAGAAATCGTCAATTGATTGTGCTACCACTGATAATACCGAACAAATTGATTTCCTAATGGGTTATGTGTTTATACGTAAAGTCGTACACTTATCAATTTGACGGTACGGTGTTATGAGTTGGTCTGTATGTGCGTGTGCTTTTTGCTTGTGTTTTACTAACAACTGATGGTTTTATCGTATTAAAATTAGCAGTTGTGTCACATCGTTTCGATAAATGTATGGAATTAAATCTAGATGCAGTTGTGTATGAAATGTCGGTTCTCAATAGTTCGATAGAGAAATTAACGTTGATTCGAAATGAAAGTAAAATTGTCGTTTACAATTTTCTGTATAGATTCTATAATTTAAGAGTAACATGTAACAAAAGTTTGTTAGTAAAACACATATATTGTGATTTGAAAAGAACTGTGTTTCAGTTTTTCAAGGTGTATCGCCGTTTGTCTGATACAATTAGTCTAGTATGTGTGCGTTAATATCCAACAAAAATAATTACCGCTGATTTATGTCGTCGTTTACATAATTTTATCAGTGGTAACGAAATAAATATGATTTGTTGTACAATATGCATCTTGAGGTCTTACGATAATGACGTGCTGTGTCGTGTTTTGTGCATTTTTTTACTACAGCAATAAAAGTCGTAATAACGTCACTGAATCCGATTAGCCTTTATCATGTTATTTTGTAATGCACACTGACCTG